GATCTAATGTTACTAACACAAAATAGATTTTTAAATATATTAAAGGTCAGATCATATTAAGTCAAGATTATAAAAAAAAAATTATTATTAATAATATGTCATATTTAAATTTTAATTTTATAAAATAGATGTATCCAATATATTTAAAGTTTAATCTGATTAGATATATTTTATCTCTATTATTAAGCATATGTTTAGATAGCATCTAAAAATCAATGCTACCCCTTAAAATTATAAAATAAAAAATTATTCATTATTTAACCTTTTATCATAAAAAGATAATTAATTATTTTCAGTTCAATAATTCAGCCTTGGCCCTAAAGTTCGCTGAGCTCATAGTCCCCATCAACAAAGCGCTGGTTATCGGCCCATAAACGTTGAATATATAGCCTTCTTCAAGTACGCTCACCGGTTATGGTTCAATGCTATAGTGTGGGCCAAATTTGTGTTTATCCAATTTACAAATTTATGTATAAGAATAGCTTATAGAGATTGCTGCCTGCTGGGCTCATAAACCTCTATGCTAAGGCCTAAGGTAGAATTTCTCTAATTTTAATTAGATTTTTGCCGCTGCATATGCTAGTGAAACTTGGATGGATTGAAAATAGAAAATAAATTAAATGGGGACAAGAATTTATTCATAGCATAAATAATTTGGTTGACTCAACTTAAGTCAATTGTCACACCCTCACACTAAAGCACGACCATCTGCTTCTTTTTCTTACTTATTTCTGACATATTTGTCTTTGAATTTATTTTGTCATCTATTAACCACCTATATCTCCACGTTATGAACCCTTTAAAGGCAATTAAAATGCTAATATAAAAATATTAACCGAATAAATGTATTTTTATAAAACTATCATAAAAGTTGTTAAGCTATAACAAAGTTGCTTAACCATTAAAAAAATCTAGATTAAAATAAGTTTTTGTGTGAATAACGAGATAAAATAAGATCCACCGTCAATAAATTAAGAAATCAATAGCTGAGTTTTGCTATTAGAGAAAAAAAAAGCAGAGAATGTTCTTATTTTCTATGAAACAAGAAGGAACCTACTAAAAAAAAGAGAATTAACAACCCTGATTAATTTATTGCATTAGAAATACTCTAACTACTACATGCCTAAGATTACAACTACAAATTATGAGTTATGTCGGGGACTTGTGGTTCGTGAATTGGTCTGAGAATCAACATGGCAAGCATAGTTTTCAGATAATGAATGCAAATCGAAAACATAGGATAATGGGATGTCCAGTAGTAATCGCATTCGTCACTCTGATGCTAACTGGTAACTTTTTCTTCTCGATTATATGATATGGTACTTCTCTTTCTGGTAAAGAATACAATAATTGAGTTCAAAATTATTTTACACAGCTGGTAGGAAAATTACATAGACATTGCAAGAGCAAGTACAGTGAATGAAATCTTTGGCACTTGGCAAAAAGACAAAGGAAAAAGAAAAAGTATTAGATATCTAGAAGCAGACGTTCAATTGTGGGACTGAGGCAATCAATGGAATTCATATGACAGCAGAGCACAGAGACCCTAAAGTTCAACTAATTTTAGAGAAAAAATTGTTGATTATTCTTAGAGTTGCGTCTAGGTTTCCAAGTTACATAAAGATTTTAAGCAACAACATACAATGTACGTAAACTTACAAGTCTGATGAATTTGCAAGTACATGTGAACTTTTTTATGTAGAAAATTGTTGATAAGACTTGCCCATTAATAGGGGGGTTGTAGAGATTCTTTATATCACAATAAATCTGACACGCAAATTTCTCTTTTTAGTGGCCAGTTGGGATTTGATAAAAGTAAACCATGAGGTCAGGATTATAAGAGTTCATTTTTTAGGACAATTAATGAATTTGATACTTGAGCAAAGGCTCAATGAACGGTATTGGTGGGCTTGGATTTTAGTCCCTTATTCAATGCTTCTGTTCTTGGGAGAACATGAACCAAGATATTTTGCAGTGGCAATCAAACAAACTCACAAACCTTACCAAAATCTCACGAGCATCCGCACAAAAGATTGTAATTTATAAGTAGGACACGCCTATGACAGATTTTGGATTCACAAGAAAGACGGCATTAGTAAACATTTTATGTTCATGAACTCCAAATTAATAAATGTAGTTATGTAGGTGTAAAATAGAAATTGTTGCTCACAAAAGAGGACTACAGTTGTCAAGTTCCACGATTGAGAAGTGGAATCAGGAAGAATATATTATCAATAATCTGAAAATTAATTAGTGGTTAAGACATCTTATATCCAGCCTAATAATTCTCATATGCAAACAAAAGATAAAGTGGCAACACGAAAAAAGATTTGGTCCACATAATTTAATGTATGTATGACTTAAAGAACTTGGCAATGATTTGATGAATTGGATTCTCGGGGTTGGTCTAGCATAAAATTCATGAACATAGATGATCATAATGAAGTTTAGTAGTTAAAACATCTTATTTTAGGTCGAATAACTTGTAAAGTTGTATTATTCATGAAACATTTTTTTTTTATATATAAATTTCTTTCTATTTTTCAGTCACATCATCTTATCTCCCTTTTAGTTGTATAAAAGTGTTATACAAATACAATTTCTCTTGCTTTTATATGCAAACACAAGAATGAAAGGCCAGGAACACAAAAGGATTTGGTCCACACAATTTAATGTATGCATGACTTATGACTTAGAACCTTAGGGATTGGCCTACATGAGAATTAGTTCATAAGACTGACAGTAGCTTCTGAATCGTCAATAATAGGTGCATGGCCAATCTTGTTTTTATGTGCTTTCTGACCACCGCCTACAACTCATGGAAGCATTATAATTATAATATAAAACCTTTATACAGAACCAGACAATACATATTACTTTATTGGATTGGTGTTCCATCCATTAGGTAGAGAGTCAGCAGACAATATATGACTTTCATCAGTTTGTTTTTCCTAAGCAATTAATCTCATACTTTTGTCATATTGTTCACCATATTAATAATAACAAACAGCAATGACAATAAGTGTTTTAAGTTATAAATAAAGCAAATAATTCAATTATCCAAATTATATCCACTAGAACTTTAGTGAAACCTGTCATAAGGTATGTTAGCGAGGAAATCCCTTACCCCTTTTTCTTTCTTCCAATGTTGAGAGACAAATTCGTTGGACTTAAGTTGTTATACTTGTCAAACCCAATTACCTACTACCCTTTGTCCCACCTATGGCCCAAAAGTGGGCCACGGGCCTCAACCAGTAAATTTAGCAGTTATTATTTGCCCTGCGAATTGTGCTAAGATCACTCTTTTCCCTGTGACCTAAAGGAGCAATTTTCATGTGCCTCAAGGAGCTTCTATTATATTGTTTGACACCGCAAAATCTATTATGTTAGATTTAGTTTTTTATGGAACATTATTAGATTTGGTGTTCATTTGCACTTTTTAGTTGCGTAGCTTATTTATTGGGGATGACATACCACTTCTAATTTTCACTACTGCATTCTTTTTGATCGGCATATTACGATGTGGCACACATGAGCATTGAGTAGTCAAATAAAGAAAAAAGTGGACATAGCAAAAAAATAGCTGTGAACATAATAGGAAATAAATTAAAAGTAAAAAGTTATTTAGCTAAAAACGTTAATTATCATCCAAAAACCAGACCAAACATAATAATTTAGTTTCAGGATGATTATTTATTCAGAGACAATAAAGTATGTGCACAAAAGAAGATTTAAAATAATTTTTAGAAAAAGTCAACGTTCTAAAAGCATATAACCACAGAAATATAGATTTCATCCTTAAATATTTATAAAATAGCATGCATATATATATATATAATCTATATAGCATTCTCACTCTCCCTTACATTTCTCTCTAACAATATGTTGGGCATTTGTTGTCAAAAATTTTATTATTTTTTTAATGTTACAAAATGATAAAATCAATAATGTACCAAGACCACAAAAAACACAAGGATTCGTTCATAGCACATTGAATTATTAATCATAAGGAAATGAGTAATTAGTTTAAAAATATTATCAAGATTTCAACTCAACCTTGACAAAGGAACATCGTGGGGAAGACCTAGCCTTGACCTGTTTGTTGCTTTGACCTGACAAATTACGGAAAATCTTTAAGTTTAACGAATTTGATCTTTATTGTGTTGCTTTCCTCACCCATTATTTGAAAATCTTCGTCTAGGTTTAACCAAGTGTTTTATATTTGAATATACTTATTGAAAAAAATGGTAAAAATACTGTTATTTAAATGATTTTAATAAAAAATAATTTCAAATACAAGATTTCCTAGGCAAATAACATAAACTGATTTTTTTTTACAGTGACGATAACTTTACAAATTGAAAATTTGTACATAAAATCTCACCCCTTTATTGTCAGACCAACACTAAAAATTCAATGCAAAAGATACACTAGACAATGAATTTAGACGAACAATAATTATAGAAAAAACAAGAATAAAATTTCAGCAAGAATAATGAAAAATATTGGTTTGAACTTTGAACATGCGATTTTTGTTAAGGAAAAAAAATTCAAGATAAACACAAGCAGGCGGGTGTTTTTTAATCCCTGATTTGAAGGCGAACTCTGCGAAAGAGCCATCTGATCAAAGGGATATATAACCATTAACTACAAACATTACAATTACAAAATAAAATGAAATCCCGTTTAACAATGCCGAACGAGAGTTTACTTAAGACGATTACGGTTTTATCTAAGGCGGAAGCTTGAGCACTACAAAGTAACAATTATTTAATTAGATAAAATCTTTATATTATTAAATTAGTCATTTTAAAAATAAAAAACAGTACACAGATTTAGTGTTTAAAATATTGAACTTTTAAGAGTAAGCGTGCAAAAACAAAAAAGATTAAGAGCATACTTTGACTTAAAATTTTGAAAATCTAGTAAAGTTAGCCTTGTTAAAGACGAAGCCATAGCATAGCATAGCAGCGTCCAAAAATGCGCCCGCCATGGCCATGGCCATAGTGGAAAGTGGAAACTTCGTACCCTTTGCCTCGCTGTCACTGACTCACTCTCCAGTCTCCTCATCCTTTATAAGCTCTCGCTCCTGCTCCTTCAACAAATTCAAAAACACTCTCTGCTTTCAACTTCAATACTCTGTTTCCCTTGCATGCACTGCACATAATCAAGTGATTTCTTTCAATATGTGGCTGTTGCTCTTGTTCACTATGCTCTCTTTTCCACACCCTTCATGCCAAATGCTACTCTTGCCCCTAACCCACACTCTTTCCCAAGCCCAAGCCCAAGCCCAAGCCCAATTCAACGCCACTCACCACCTCTTGAAATCCACCTCCACCCGTTCCGCGGCCCGTTTCCGGCGCCAACTCTCCCTCCCCCTCTCCCCGGGCAGCGACTACACACTCTCCTTCAACCTGGGCCGGCAGGCCCAGCCCATAACACTCTACATGGACACCGGCAGCGACCTAGTCTGGTTCCCCTGCGCCCCTTTTAAATGCATCCTCTGCGAGGGAAAGCCCAACGAGCCCAACGCCTCTCCCCCCACCAACATCACCCGAAGCGTCGCCGTTTCATGCAAGTCCCCCGCATGCGCCGCAGCGCACAACGCCGCCTCCACCTCCGATCTCTGCACCATGGCTCGTTGTCCTCTCGAATCCATCGAAACCTCCGATTGCGCCTCTTTCAAGTGTCCACCGTTTTACTACGCCTACGGCGACGGAAGCTTAATCGCGCGTCTCTATCATGACACGCTTTCCCTCTCCTCGTTGTTTCTCACTAACTTCACCTTCGGTTGCGCTCACACCACGCTCGCCGAACCTACCGGCGTCGCCGGCTTCGGCCGCGGATTACTCTCTCTCCCCGCTCAGCTAGCTACGCTCTCTCCTCAACTCGGAAACCGCTTCTCCTATTGTTTAGTCTCTCACTCGTTCGACTCGGAGCGGGTTCGGAAACCGAGTCCACTCATCCTCGGCCGTTACCACGAGAAGGATAAGAATATTCGCGGTGGCGATGAAGTGGTTGAGTTTGTGTACACGCCTATGCTTGAAAACCCTAAGCATCCTTACTTCTACTGCGTTGGCTTAACCGGAATATCCGTCGGGAAGAGGATTATTCCGGCGCCGGAGATTCTGCGGCGGGTGAACGCGCGAGGCGACGGCGGCGTTGTGGTGGACTCCGGCACGACTTTCACGATGTTGCCGGCGGGATTCTACAACTCGGTGGTGGCGGAGTTCGAGCGGCGAGTGGGGCGAGTGAACTCGCGCGCGCGTGGGGTGGAGGAGAGAACGGGACTGGCGCCGTGTTATTATTTAAAAGCGGGGGCGGAGGTGCCACGCGTTACGCTGCGTTTCGCGGGGGCGAATTCGAGTGTGGTGCTGCCCAGGAAGAACTATTTCTACGAGTTTTTGGAGGGTGGTGATGGGGCGAGGAGGAGGGTGGGGTGTCTGATGATGATGAACGGTGGAGATGAGAGTGAGTTGAGCGGTGGGCCCGGGGCCACGCTCGGGAATTACCAGCAGCAGGGGTTTGAGGTTGAGTATGACTTGGAAGCCAAGCGCGTGGGGTTCGCTAAGAGGCAGTGCGCGTCTCTTTGGGAGAGACTCAATCGCGACAAAAACTAGCGTACGCTGCACTGCACACACCGGATTCCCTCACGGGTCGGGTCTTTCTGTAAATTCAAATAACGCGGCCTTTGGAGCCATGCATGCGCTTGTGTGTCTACTAAATAGGAAAGTTGTACACTAGTATATTTTTAAAAACCCTATTGTAAAAAGGAAAAATTGTAAGTAAACATCAAATGGTTGAGATTGAGAGTAATATATTTTTATTTTTTTATGTGAGAATGATATCTCGAAATGATGATGAAGGGATCTGTCCAAAATCCAGCTGTGATAAGGGAGCCACGAAGATATATAATACAACTAAGCAATGGGATTCTAAATGCTAGGTTCAGTTTGGACCATGTCTTAAAAGTTGGGACCATTGCTGTTTTGAGTTTAGACAGGAGGACAATTTAAAGGATTCTTGCCGTTTGTGCCATCGTTCACGGATTCTTCACGTTTAAATGTTGTACTACTAGTTATTATCCATTTCAACAAGTTAATGTATGAAATATGATGTTCCATATTCATATTGTATTTGGTGGTGGTAATAACTTACAGGCAGGATTTAATTAGGGTAAAAAGTCGACGAGGAAGGGAGCAGCAGGGGAATTAATTCAGATTGGTACTAGTAAATATTGGATGAAGCGTACTCCAATGGTAAAGTATTAATGATGAATCAATGGTGCTTCTTTGGGCAGAGAAACATGGCAATGAATGAGCTTTTTTTTTTCTGAGTGACGACACCAAACTTTCCACGTCCACAGTGAACCTTCACGGTTTTTTGGAAGTGTTCTGTATTTTGGACTTCATTTCGTCTTTCCTCATCTTCGAATCTACGCGAGTGCAGGTCCTTGAAGTATGGCCAGCGATCCACGTCGTTTTGATCACGTGCACATAAAAAAAAATGATTATTGAAAAGAAAGAGCCATATATACTATACTGGTTCGGGTTCTACATGTACTGTACGCACTGTAAAAATATATATAAGGGAACAAGGACGTATCCATATATCCAAATATACATGTATAAATGTGTGCATAAAAAAATATACATATAAATATATAATATAGTGAGGGCAGCGACTCTCATGGTTTAACTTTTTCTTCATATGATATATTTATAATTATAATTTGGTGGCTCTTTTATTAAGTACCACTTTAAGTGATGACATAATAGTCAGGTCTCAGCTCTCAGGTGAATACTAATCCGACAAAGAAAAAAGGACAAAGAAAACCCATATATTGAAAATAATGTATTATTAAATATCTTAAAATTATTTCTTGGCTCGGTAAAATGTAAATATGTTTTGCAAAATTGTTAACTCATACTACTATACTACTATCTTTAGGATTAAAATCTAATTAATATTTTTTCTGTTTTTTATTCATAATTATTTAAGATTTTGTACTGGATTTAAGAAAATAATTGATATTGTAGTTTTTAAAAATATTTATTACTTACTTTTCTATTCTATTCTTTATTTTTTTATAATATTTTATTAAAAATATATTATCTTTTTAAATATAATATTAACTTTTCATAAATAATTAAAAAAATAGATAAATATTAAAAATAAATAGACATATTATTTAAGTAAACATACATTAATTATTAAAAATAAAAATAAAATTAAAATTAATAAATCATTAATTTTAGTAAAATAATAATAAAAAAATAAAAAATTCTGATAAACTATAAATAAAAAAATAGAAAGAGTATTATTATATAATTAAAAGGAAAAGAGAAATAAATAAAGAGTGAAAAAGATGATAAAAGTAAGAGAAAATAAATGTATAATAATTAGTACTACTGTAATAACTTTTGGTGAGGGAGAGTTAAAAGTTCAAGTCCCAATAAGCTGACAAGGTGGTGTTTGAAAGTCTGGATACAGCTAGCTCCGCTGTCTCCAATCCCCACACGTGTGCTTCTAGATACTTCGCGCGTGACGTGCACACAAACAGCAAACGAGGTCACGAAAGTAATTATGAGATTGTCAGATTAATATAATTTTTTTCTTGAATGGTTACTCCAGAGTGAAGTGGGAGGGCTATGTGATGGGCCTAATATTGCAGGAAAGAGGTGGTATGGGCCAACGGGCCTCACTTTGGGTTGCGTGTTTGTGCTCCAAGGTGCATGCACACCAACTTAAGATTTGGTGGTACCCCGCAGGAGAACCACTTTCTTGTCGCGTTACTCCCAACAAACAAATCAGGGACCACCCTGGTTCCAAAACCCTTGCTTCTCCACTCGCACGTTTGTGTCTTCAAATTAAGGTTCTTTATGCTCTACTATTACTAATGCCTTGCCATGTTATGAAAATGTTCACCGCCCCACAATAACCATCTCTTATCTTAACTAACCACCACCGTATAAAATTTCACATAAACACTATTAAGAGAAAAATAAGATAAAATTAAATTTTATATAAATTAAATTTAAATTTTAAATAAATTAATTTATACTTAAGCTTATTTTAATTTATAAAAAAATATTTTATTTTATTTTATTTCTGAAAAAATTCACTCAAATAAACTTTAAATATTCAATTATATAACGCGCACATATACTACAGTATTTAGTGTTGGCAAATTGAAATATATAAAAAATATTTAAACATTATTATCATAAATTTAATTCCTATAATTAAATAAATGTTTAGAATTACTAAAATTTCTGCATTAAAATTTTTTCAATATGAACTTTTAAAATAATTATTATAAAATTTGTAAATTTAACCTTAATAATTAGATGTCAACATAAATTAGTATATCTATTCTAGGAAACCTACGCGACAACGGCTAAAGTTTTATTTATGTATAAAATCAAATACAATGTTTTTTATTAATCGGAATCAAATTTGGTACGAAAAAATTTACTTACTAATTTGTTAGATAGACTCATCCATAAATGAATAAATGATACAATATTTTAGATAATCTAAAAACTATCTATTAATTAAAATCGAAGTTTTGTTGATAATATAGCAATAAAAATTGTGGCGGCTACATGTTTTTAGTGCGATGGAGAACGTTGGCAGCCTTTATTCACCTCTCTTAATGCCCACCGAAAGGCAACTTTGGGCTTGTCTCGTAATGCGAAATTCCAGGCTGTTAATATGTAAATAAAGTTGGTATGAAGGCATCCGTACCATCTTAATCATAAATATAAGTTTACATAGATAAGACCCCCCTAGGGGCCATGCTCCACCAGCTAGATATTTTACACTATTCCATTTTCATGGACAAAATGAACATCTCATCTTTATCCACATCTTTCAACATTGCATTTTCCACGTTTTCTCTACACATTTTGTATATATAAAAAAAATGAGTCATAAAAAATTATCTAGATATGATTCTTCTTTTTGTCGTTTGTGAAATGTCACTAGTTTAGTGTTTTCTAATATTATAACAATCTCATTAAATTTTATATTTTAAATACAAAATAATATAATTCAGCTGAAATATGAAGATTGTGGAAGAATTTTACATTAAATAATAATTAATTTATAAGTAACGAATAAGTTATATAAATGAGTTTGATATCATATTTCAATTTGAAGTCTTATAATATAATCTTAAAATATTAAGTAAATAATTTTTTCAATTATATATTATTTAATATATTCAATTATAATTGATGTAAGACTCACTTTATATTTGAAGTATAACGACCCATCTTGCCTGTTATACTGCGGAAAAATAACTAAAAACAACTGAATATATATAATAAATAGTGTATTATCAATCAACATAAGTAAAACTACAACCATCTAACAGTAGTAGCTCAATAGATCATCAAAAATATATACAACTGTCTACAAAATAAGCTCTACCATTAAGGATAGTCAACTAAATATAACTCTCCAGCTATTGCCACCAAGTGACCTCCATTAGCTAACACTAGTCTATCCATGTCATGCTCCCATACATCGTATGATCATTGCAGTCCAAATCACATGAAAACATATAATGGTAAGCTAGTGAAAATAAACAACTCATATATATGAAATATACAACACAGAAAATTTAGCATCACTGTCATCATCTTCATCAACTTGTTCAACATACAACACATAATATTTAAACAACATATGAACATAAAAGCAACTTGCAACACAACATCTCTATCAACAAGAACGACTTATTCATCATGCAACCCACAACATATAAGCAACATACAACTGTATAACAACTTCACAACATATCAACACATACAACTCATCAACACACATGCGTTGTCACGCATTTCAACTCGAAGATTTCCTACAACACAAGGTGAGCAGTCTAAGTGGCTAGGTCCTATCGTACCGACAACACAGAACCTTTTTGGGCTTGCTAGGTAAACAACAAATTTGGATAAAAATCCACAACACGATAACGGTTTATCAGACTTTGCCATTTAAATAAGAAAGTATAGTACTATGTCAAGATAGGACAGCTGGGTTTAGGCCTACCACGACATTAGCTAGCTCAACTAAGCCACATATGAGATTAGCTTACTGACTATCCTCCAAATACTATAACCCTTTGATACTTGGTTAGGAACTAAGTTTTCGACTTCGTACTTTACTCGAATTGACTGCTTGTAAGCGATATAGCTCGACCTGGCCCCTATACCATGGTCACTTCATACACGTGTGCATTGACCTTGCCCACACACAGGATCAACTAAGTCTTAGAGGAAAACAACACATCATCCACTCTAAGGGGCAACTTCCCAAGGAGGGTTTTTCAACAAATTAGGCTCTTAGAGCATCGCAATTATCTCAATCCACACAATGGGATGAGTAACTTCGAAAACATATCATCTAGTCTTAGTGATCAACAACTCATCATCACAGCATAATCAACACACAACTCAAAAGCACGGTTCAGCTCAACAACTCGAATAACAACACAACATCTCATTATAGTTTCAACACAACAATAACTCAGTCACTACACAATTTTTCAACTCATATCATCTCCACTCAGCTACTCAACTACACAACTAGTTTACAACACTATGCTAAACATGCATGTTAATGACATCTCAACATAGTTCATATAATATCCCAATATAACTACACAATTATCAACATAGTCTTCTCATCATATTACAACAATCATTATTATTCAACACTTTATCATTTATATCGGCACACACACATTTTCATCACATAATGCAACTCATACTACATATTTACAACGCGTTTATCAAGCCAACTTACACAAATAAACAACATACATCAACCT